TAAGTAATTTAACCGTGACGGCCGTTTTAATTTTCTAGTGTGCATGACACCTTGTGTATAACATATGAAATTTTTAAGCAAGGTGTACAGTGAAGATTAACAAAGTATGTAAATGATAATTTAATTCAAATAATTCCGTGTCCGAACACAGTTCAACGAATGATTCGCAAAGCTAATTTAATAAATAATTATCGTGTTAAAGGACGTAAGGGACCTTGATTGATTGACCTTGATTGACCTTGACATAACCTTGATATGACCTTGACATCAAGGTTATGTCAAGGTCTTGTCAAGGTTATATCAAGGTTATTGATAATATTCTTCATATTTCTCTAACAAACATATCCCTTACGTCCTTTAACACGATTATTATTTATTAAATTAGCTTTGCGAATCATTCGTTGAACTGTGTTCGGACACGGAATTATTTAAATTAAAATATCATTTACGTACTTTGTTAATCTTCACTGTAAACCTTGCTTAAAAATTTCATATGTTGACCTTGACGTAACCTTGACAAGACCTTGACATAACCTTGACATGACCTTGACATAACCTTGACATGACCTTGACACATTGGTCAGTGTTTTCCGTTAATAACTCGTAAACAAAGCCGCAGATTGCATTTTCGCAAAGGAAAAAGTTACTTCAAATGACCTCAGCTACCCCTCATTTTCGACTGTTAAAATAATTGTGGAACACCCTGTATAAATCACTTGTATAAATCAATATTCATGCACATACTTCTGGAATTTCTTTTGAACCTGGATTCCTAGCTCCTCCCCTCTGAAGATATTGTTGATATAGGGCACTGCTCTGTTTTCTCTTCTCAGCTCGTTTTTCATACTCATCTAAGTTTTTGGGTGATTTTTTCTTTGATTGTTCTATTTCTAGTTCATAAACACTTGATTTTGCTTTAGAAGTATTTTTTGCATGCTTTGATTTATCATCAAGTTTAGAATCATTTATACCGACATTTGAATGTTTCTTAGCTTTATCTATATGGTTTTTATTACGTAAGTCTGTATTCGACTTTTGAATTGTACTATTCTCTTCAATTTTATCTTCATTTTCAAATGGTATTGTCTTTTCCTCTTCATTTTCACTATTGCTTTTAGGCAAATCATCTTTTTCACATACATTGTGAATGGAGTCTATAAAAAATAAAAAATGAAATATAGCTTTATACTTTCTTAGATATTACTCATGTCATATTCAATATTAGTACCTTTATTAGATTTTTGACTTTCTTCTAAATATTTTTGTTCAATATCAGATATATCTAACTGACTCAATGTTGCTTCGAATTTTGTATCATCATGACTTTCAGCTTCCTATAAAATTAAGAAAGATTCTTGTACAGAATGACATTAATATTATTGTTAACGACCCAAACATATGGGCATCATGTGCAACAGACCTAAACGAAGACTTTTGTTAAAGCCAACATTTGACTTTAATCAGTGAACGACTCTGACGATACCACGTGACTTACATTTATACTTTCCTACTTAAAATTGAACGTTCTTCCGATCTACGATAATTTCGAAAACTACACTATGTACTAAAAAGTGAATATGTCGTCACCTTTCTTCCTTCTAATTCTATAACTTCTGTATTTAACAATTTTTAATTAGATGCATAATTTAAAAGTTATTTGAGGTGTGCAAGTTATGCTCACACCGTACCTCGACCGACTAAACCGGCGTAACGGTATGCCATACGCCAGTGCAGTATTCACTTCAAATAATAGTCAATTTTAAAGTGTCCACATTTTTGAAAAATCGACTGTAAAAGAGTCACTTAGAGCTATATTCTCTAATTTTTTCAAATATTTCGGTGGTGCCCTGAGTTAAGGCATTGCATTTGTTAAAAACGATTGCAAAATAAATAGTGAAAAAATAAATTTTTTCAAGTGACATAATTCTCAAATCCAATCATGTTTCTACTATAAGCATCCAAAAGCTCATTTTCATCAGTTTGGTAGTTCAATAGCTATGATTTAATGGATAAGAATGTTGACACATTATATTGCAAGCCAATTTTGAAAATTTGAAAAAAAATATATCGCTCAAAACTACAACATATTCAAATTTGACCAAACTCAGAAACAGTGCTGCAAAAGGTATCTGATTTTGTATAACTTCTTACTTTTAGACAAGTCTAAAATTGTCATTTATGAAAATCAGAGAAATACGTTTAATTTGAAAAATGGTACTACCTCAACTCATTCACAGTTTTCTTCCCCTCTAAAGAAGTGTTACTGCGCTCAATTTGTACATTGTATGAATAATATTCACCTCTTTCCGCAATTTTTTCGATATTTTTGCAGCTTCTTTTCTGTTTATTGGTTTTTTACCAAAAATATCACCAGGAGAAACTGTTTTCTTCTGTTTTCCTTCTTCATCCGAGTCAACTGAAATTGAATTCTTTCCTAATATTTTTATTTTCTATAAAAATACAAAATTTATATAATTACGACATGTGAAACCTAAATTTTAAAAATGATGCGACAATAAAAACATTTTGGAACCTTGGATCGTTTAATAGGAGATTTTATCTTTTCATCGTCCTCATCGGATGAAATTATTCGTCTTTTTGTGGGTTTTGTTGAAGTAACACTAGGATTAATCTTAGTACTTTGGAAATAAGACCGTATATCCTATAAGTATGAGAAAGGATTATTAAATTTGGTAAGAATGAAAATTGAACTATCAGCAAAAATGTTGAATGTATGAACTACGGTCACTATCTAACCTAACTTATTAGTGACATTCGATTACACGATATAAACTTACCCTCGGCATGTTTAATGTTTGCAAAAACCTGTCGGGATGCTTAAAACGGATTGCCAATATTTTAGCAAAGAAATATTAAGATAAAAATACAATACATATATCCTGATGAAGATTATATGGCACAAACTAACGTACACATACTTGACGCGTATTTCACAGTGATACACAATGGCACATCGAACGCGATTTTAAATGTAACAATTTATTGATTCATCAATACAATGAAGCATATTTAAGATGTGTACTTTGTATAAAAGAAAGCTTTGTATTAAAGCAATTTTTATGTCAGAAAACTAATAAAAGGAAAGATTGAAAATTTGTATGTGCTTGTACTCTTGTGACCACCAATTTTATGTACACAAAGTTCTACAGTAATGGGACCTACTCCTGCGCACTTTTCATACTCTCTAATCTAGCGCGCATATCCCAACTATTTTACTGTTCATCCAATCCGCAATTGATTCTGTCTCAGCAGTGAATTGTTAGCTAATCAGAGCAAAGAAAATTTCTATATCGACCCTCGTTAACAAATTAAGCTGCGTAGATCCCATCACTGTACATCCTGAGAAAAGGGGAGAGGGAGGATCCTGTTTCTTTCTACATTTCTACGTAGTTTCTATATTATATCTTCAACTCCGGTACGGTTTTCCACCTCTTTAAGGAAGCGCTTGCATCCGCACTATTTTACTGCGTATCCAATCCGCAGTGAATTTTATCTTAGCATTGAATTTTTAGCTAATCAGAGTAAAGAAATTTCTAATCCTATTGTCACTAACGGAATGCGTTGTGACCGAAGAGTGTTGCTGTCAGTACTGTTGTGTATCTACCACCTGTCACATTCGAGATGGCAGCACAAATGAAGAATAACACGTGCTTGAAGAAGGATTCCCTGAATTCTTTTGACTGTTTACATAATTTGTATAAAAACACTGATGTATACACTATGATAGCTTAAAAGTTGATTATTGTCCATATTGCTTCATTTTTTGATAAAACAATATTGAATAACATTATATCAAGGAATAAAATATAACCTCCACAATGGTGAAAGAACAATTTAGAGAAACAGACGTAGCCCGTAAAATGTACGTATATTTTAATGGATTATAAAAATCCACTTTGAAACCTACTTTATCTCTTATTTTTTATTATATATTCTATTGTTAACAAAACCAAGTAAAATTTTCATAATGTACTACTACATTAAATTATTATAAAGTCTTTTATAAAATTATTTGTATGTAATTACTGGAATCCGCCAGTAAAAGATATATTTTTGAACTTCTACGTCAATAAATATTGTCATCTTTAAA